GTGTCAAAATGTTCTAAGTTTCGATAGCAACACGATACGATTACGATACGATAGTTGTCAAAATCATTCGTGCTTGCGTCGTGTAGTTTCTTTTACGCACGGTAGGGGCGCTGTACAAATCCCATAGAAAATGCTTTCGATGTCGATACGAATACTTTCTCGATAGTTTTCGTGCTAGCCACTCTGAACGCCGTCTCGTTTCGAATACTTTAAACGAAAAATAAACTCGTACTAAGCCCTCTGATTGGTTGGTTTATTGGCGCCGGCCAATTAGAGTGGCGCCAGTAGTGGTATGTTCGAAAAAAAAAGTTTCCGCATTACAAGCTCTGAAGGTGTAACAGTCAATAGGCAGGTGTGCACTGACTGCACATGTTCAATGTAACATACACTTTATAAGTTTATACAACAATCAATGTAACATACACTTTATAAGTTTATACAATAAGTTAGTAGTAAGTAAAAGTAGTGAGTCTATTCAGTCTATTGCCATTATAATGAGCACAATTCCAGGCTCTGTGCTATTATTAAGAAATTTCGAAAAATCCTAATGTCTACTATAATACTTAACTATGAATTATATTGTCGGAAAAATTAATGATTCACAAGATATTAAATTACAATGATTAAATATTGATGTTTTTATGTTTCACATAATTCCAAGATATAAAAACTATAAAATAAAAAGGACGATGTATTTGTTTCAGGAGTATTTACAACTTTCACCGGTGGTGTCAATGGCCCAGTGAAGCCATACAACTTAACTAACGTTAGAGTTCCTGTCACTTTAGTATACGGAGAGAATGATCAGCTCACTGAAAAATCTGTAAGTACTGCTATTTTACTACCATTTTTTTTAGATATAGCGACTGAGATCGGTAGGTAGGTAATCTTAGAAGACTAGAATGTTAAGTACAATATAGAATCAAAGTTTTTGAAATCAAAAGTGGCTTCCTGGTCTAGTTGAAATAAATGATTATGATTGTGACTTTGATTTTGACTGTAGCCCGAAGGTATTATCCAGCCATTCATTCCATTGTATCAAAATATACTGGGTTGGATATACTGAATATACATAAGTTACTAGCTTTTTGCGTAGTTTTAGCCTAGGTCATTATTTTGTGCCTAGGCATACAAAGGGCACCAGCCGTCTAGGGAGTCACTCCGGCATCGGAGATCGCGCGACGATCTTCGGCCACCGTAAGTGCGGGTCTACCCTTGCTCGCCGTCCGAACAGAAGCAGACCCGCGCATACGCGCGCCTCATAGACCCATCAGACCACCTCAGATGGGGTCCAGTAGGGCTGGTGCCGATACGGAGCTGCTGAAGGCCTAACGCGTTGTCGGAAATCGGCCTAAGAATCTGTCACTCCCTCTCACCTAACCTAAGGCGGGAGAAGACATGGATGATGGTCCACTCCCAAAAAAAAAACAAAAAGAAAACTTTGTTTCATACATACATAAAAAAAGTTTAAACTTTTTTTATAACAAAATATTCTGTCTGTTTACAGCAAATATTGAAGTTGGCAGAGGAGCTCAGATCTATTGGAGTTCTAGAAGAAGTAAGGCCGGCTTGTTCCTGGCCCAAGTTCAACCACTTCGACTTCTTGTTTGCTAAGGATGTAGGCAAGCTACTGAACAAACCACTTGTCAAGTTAATAGATAAATTATACAATAAATATAATACAGCATGATGTTATGTTTTTATTGACTTTGTATCTCAGATTTGTATGGGTAATGAAAATTAGAAACATGGGTGTATACAGTTTTTACACATACTATTTTCACATGTACCTAACATTTTGTAAGTTTTTATCTGGCGATGACTAACTGACTAACTGAAATAGATCCTGGCATGTCTGTGACATGATGAAATTTACTACATAAGATAAACTAAGCTTAGGAATAGTAAAACAATATAGTATTTAAAGTTGAAGTGAGAAATAATGAGTATGTAACACAGTGAGCATAACTTTAAGTAACATTTAAGTTCTGATGGATCAGGCGTGAACTGGGTTCAAAAGTTCCTAAAAAATAAAAGATTTAAAAAGACTGTTAGCTATGCCATGTTATGTGTTGGGTGTTGAAACTTTAAATATACTAGTTTCTGCCCGCAACTTCGTACATGCAATACGGTTTTCTCCCATCCCTGTTAGAATTTTCAGGATAATTTCTTCTGTCATAAGTAAGAACCTTCTCCTGACAGTAACAAACACAACAAAAAACATTATGTAATCAGCCACTTATGTGTGATGGGCCGTAACCAAGGGATATATGGATAATTTTTTTATAAGTAACCTTTTTAATAATAAGCTAATATTGTTTCACAGTACATAGGTACATCTGTACCTGTAGACAATAATTGTGTACCTACTAAAATCGTAATGCAACAGTGTGCACACTTTATAGTAACATCTTCAATTTATTTGCTACTTACCTCAGAAATTTAAATAACTTTACAATAACCATGGATAGCTTACATCATTTAAATTGAACAGCTAAGCATATTTGGTCATGTAAGCTAAACAAATGTAGGTACTAAATTACAGCTCAATCAGTTGAAGAAGTATATACACAGATACAAGTATCACACAGATACATGTATACATTCAAAGCTAGTAAAAATAACTTACCTTCACAACAGGCACCTTTGTAGCACCAGGAACCACTTTGCTAGCAGCTCCATGTTGGGGTACAGGTGCAACCACCTTATTATCCATTGAGTGACTACTACGATTCAGTTCTATACCTAAAATTAACAAAATTCTTTATTTTTTTCATCTTTTTATAAAAACGTTGCCACACAACAATTTTTTTAATGGCTCTCATTTCTGTAAGTAACAAGAGTAATGACGTTTGAGTTCACGTTATTTTAGATAATATATCGAAACAAATATCTAATAAATCATAATTATGCACTTTTGGCTACAGACAACTCCAACAGATTTATTTATAAATCGGTACTCTTACTTATTACGTTACTAGGTAAACATTTTACATAATTTAACATAAGAATGCTAGTGATAGTAATCATTACCTTTATTCGGCATTGCACTGTGTGCATATTATAAAAAACACCATTGAAACGCTTTGGATTATTTATAAATGCATGCCTGAAATTCAACCCTTAACGAAAATAATAACAAAGAAACGTCATACATTTTAATTTCAAATGACACTGTCAATGTCAAAAGGCTTCCCACTTCATTTTAAGATTCTGCAAAGAGTATAATAAGTATAGGGATATTCTGTAACAAGCGGGGACTGAGGGACTATATATAGATTAGTCTTGAGTTTTTATTTGAAATAAAAAATAACTCTTGGTTTACGTTAGTGAAGTAATTTAATACGATTAAAATAAACAAATTAAAAGATTATCACAATGATGAATTGTCAAATTCAGCGCATCTATGTATGTGTAATCTGTGCGGTGATAACTGATGGCATTTGCTTAGCTGTCAAAGTGACACAACGACATGACCTAAATTATTGGTTCGGTTCAGTCTTATCTTTTGCTGTGTTTTAAAAAAGCATGATTATAAAAAAAAGATAAAACTATAACTTTCAGTGAGGTATAAGAGAGATAGCATAAAAATAATGATTGAATAATCCAACTTATAAACTAACATTGGAAATTTGGAACACCCTGCCTGCTGTCTGGCTGCCTGTTCGAGTCCGGCATCGGTTTCGTTGCACGAGCTTTTCATAGTAATATAATATTATAATTAAATTAATTTACATGTGATTATTTACTACTGAGGTTACTAATATTTCGACAGTGTTTTCTCGAAGAATAGTCATGGATCTCCACAAGCCAGTCGATCCTAATAAGGTAAAACTAAATTGGAATCTAATAAAAGAATTTTATATATAATCATAAAGAGTGTATTAATCTTTATGTTTTTTCTGTTTAGACTTACGAGGAGCTAACCTCGGAGGAAAAGTTGAGGTGAGATATTGATTTATTTCCTTGCCACATTGATGGTCCTGCAGTACTAAGTAAATAAGTCATAACTATAATAAATTGATAAGGGACTGCTGTCACTGGTAAGTCCCAGATGTATGTATTGTGAGTAATTAATTAATGTAATGGGTCTTATGTCTCTAATTATGCTCAAAGGTAACGTAATGTAATGACTATATTAAAACTGTAGTTATATATATACCTCATACCAAAACATTGCATTCTACAAGAATTAGTAGTATGTCAACACAAGAATTAGTTTCTTGAAAATGTTAATTGGTATTGCTACATACTGTATACTACTAAGGCTAAAAAACTTGTTATAATATCAACATCAACAGCCCATAAGTGTCCACTGCTGGCTTGAGAGAGAGACAGTTGTCAGCTAGGAAAACTAATTCATTAATTAGTCACAGATCCAACTAAATTCATATTATTTTTTCCTGATTCTAATTAGAATACTCATGTTTGCAGGTACTAAACTAACAGACAGAGTATGAGTAGTCAATAAAATAAAATAAAAAACTTAGATTAGATTTATTCACCTTTGATAATAATTTATTTAAAATGTTAACCTTGTAATCTTGATCTTACCTCATTGATAGCAAGAAAAATAATTGAATTAGTAATGTATATTGATTTTATAATGCAGCTTAAAAATGATACCAAGTAGGTAGGTAGTATAAAGTCAAGGATACACAAAGGTACTAATGTCGCGCAACACGTGTCGCCAGCGACGTTGGGAGAAGTAGCACGACGATATACCTGACGCCTTAGTATGAGTTTATTATACATATAAAGTAATCGAAGCGAGTATGTGTTCAGCGCTTTGATTGGCCGGGTCCCAATCAGCGCCGAACGCAGTTCAACGAAAAACAAATAAACCCATACTAAGGCCCCTGGTAACTACTGACGTTGCTGTTGCTACTGACATAAGTCGCGCTATGTCGCCAGATATGTCAGGCGAAGTTGCGCGAAGGCGCACGATATGTCGCCGATACATGTCGTGGCACGTTTTGTCCCCTAGTACAGTGTTTTCCAACCTTTTTCATGATGCGACTCCCCTGGTATAAAAAAATATTTCGCGACCCTCTTGACCCTTCCGGTTTTTCAAACTCGAAACTCAAACTCAAAAGCATTTATTTCAATTAAACCATAATTTGATATTTTCGAAACGTCAACAAATATGAAATAAATAATAGTCTGTCAGTCTGTCCGTCAGTGAAGCTAGGCGCTAGCGAAGCGAGGCTTTTTATCATGTATGTATGTGTATATTACAGTATTACTAATATTCATTTCATACTACTTATTTATGGTTTTCATGATTAGGATATGAATCTAGCCGCCCGGCGAGTGTGGTGTGGTGGCTAGCTTGCGAGTTGTTGAGAGTAAACGAGCAATAACGCGCGTCTTAGGATTTAATTTTTGTTTATAACATATTAAACTGTTTATGAGTAATTATCCTTTGTTAAAATTCTCTGACAGTAAGAAAATTTTAAGTAAGAGTAATTTTAAAGTTACAGTCTAACTTAATAAATAAATATTAATCGTCTTTATTGTTTTTTTTTTACTAAACTACTCAGTTTTTTTTTACTTCCAGGGACCCCCCTACAGAAGCTTCTCTCTCTCTCTCTCTCTCTCTCTCTCTGGGGGGTTGCGACCCACAGGTTGAAAAACACTGCCCTAGTGTATCCTTGTCTTTATCTGCAGGTTTTGGCTTCACACTTTATTAATACATTTTCTTCACCTGTTTATACAAAGATAAGGAAGTGTTTCAAAGAAATTCATTTACTTGAATAAACAACTAGTTATGCTACATATAGTCTACTTTATTTTAATTTCATTGTCACCTGATATTTGAAATTACTTACAAATAACTATTTACCTGTTTTTGCCATTTTTCCTGTTATTACACTTACCATTCATACCTAGATAGATTTTGCGGTTACTGCCTCATATGTACTTGACATTTTGTACCGAAAATTCCCAAAATTAGTTCAGACAAAAGTAGTCTCTAAACATCGGAAATGAGGTTCATAATTGAGTTAGTGGAGACTGATCACCGGTGAGCGCTTATGGATCGATCAGTATATTTAAATAAATAAAATAAAAATCAATAATGAAATGTGAAATTGTATCTCGGCCTTGTGCTAGCTGCGCATCCAAGCATGGATATTATTGTTATCCAAGCAAAGACTTGATAGTAGAAAACTGTTCAAGAATTTTTCAAATAAAGGACTTCTGGTAAATGTCCTCAGAAGGTACATAAACTTTTTGTAACCCCTATGATTGTGGCTGTCTGGCTGCATGCAAACTACACATCATTTGGTAACTTGGTACTATTATTTTTTTATTACAAGGGGAGACCTTATTGCGCCTAGCTTTTTGGGGAGAAAGACTAAGAAAAGAGTGTGGGATTCTTACAGCACCCTGATGGCCACCATCTTCACAGAACAACAGTTTGTGAATCACATAAGATGTTTTCTTTATCTCATCTCTCTCCTCCTCCTTTTATTTATCTCCTAATGGAAAAGGCAGAGGTGCACATGATCACATATATGTATGTTTTACCAGTTTTAATATGAGTCTAACGTAATAAGAATTTAACTTATTGCTATATGCCAGGTATTATTTCAGACTCTGTAGTGCAACTCGCTACTTACTCAACTTACTTTCTGCGCGAAACCCCCATAATACTTTGCGGGAATCGAACCCAGAACCCCGAGTTGTCATATTAATTAGACTTATCTGACAAGGCACATTGTGGTATTAATTAATTAATATCTTAAAGGACAAAGAAATACAGTTTATTTCATCTTTGTATGTGTAAATGATTTCAGATATGACCATCAGAAGCTGCATGAGATGCACAAGGGGCATGAGTCGATGCACACCACGATGGTGATGATCCTCATCGTCACCCTCGTGGTGGCACAGCTCATCGTCATGGAGTGGAAGAAGAGGCATTACAGGTCATACGCTGTAAGTACTCGTGAAATTTACAAAGTAAATTAATCTACATAACGACAGGCACTTAGGTAACACCATTAAGACCCTTAAAGACAGTAGAGGCACTTTGAAAATGTCAAAAATAGAAATAAAGGCTGGATTCCGTTTCGAAACTTTCTTCAAAATATCAATACATAGTATAAAACAAAGTCGCTTTCGCTGTATGTCCGTATGTATGCTTAGATCTTTAAAACTACGCAACGGATTTTGATGCGGTTTTTTTTAATAGATAGAGTGATTCTTAAGGAAGGTTTGTATTGCACCCGTGCGAAGCCGGGGCGGGTCGCTAGTTAATAATAAACTAATGAGAAGATACACGAAAATTCTGACCGATGGTCGTGTCAGGGACTATATTATGTATAAAATGAATTGCTTTTAGTTTTTCACGATGGTGGCGATGTGGTCTATACCAGTGCTGATGAGCGTCAAGAACCAGTGGTGGAGGTTTATCACGATATGGAGTATATTCACCATGCTCACCGCAGTAGTCATAAGGAAGTCCACCAACAGGCCCATGTCCGTCACCACACCGAGGTTAGAGAAACCATGATTTTATATAAATAATACTATAGGTAACTAATTACTGCCTCGTTGGCAGAGTGGTCGCAAGTGCGACTGCCGGTCAAGGGCTCTCGGGTTCAAGTCCTGGTCAGCTACTAAGTCAGGCAAAGTTACTAGGTTTTTAAACTGTCAAACACCAAGGGGTCACCGGTGACCGCAACCTATTGTTCTATAATTGTGTCTACAAAACCGGTACTCGACGAGTTAAAAATAAGTAATATCTTATAAGAAGCACGGAGTCTGGAATTGTGCCCGGTATATGGCAATAGGCTCACCCCCTATTACATGGGACTCATAACATAAGCAGTGAAAACTGGGTGTTACATTATACAGGGAATTAAGTGCCGTAATGTACACCTCTGCCTACCCCTTCGGAAATTAAAGGCGTGATGTTATGTCATTCTTCTTGGGAGAGCCATGCTTTGACAAGAATGGACTCAACCGGAGTAATACCAGTCCTCCATCTCATTCCAAATCGCTAATTTATAATACCCAGATACTTAATCCTTTAAAGGGCCCCCAACTCCAACACACAATCTTCAAGTGTTGCGGTAGTCCATAGGCCTCACCGAATGCTTACCATCAGGTGATCTATCTGCTCGTTTACCGCCAAACTAGCTAGTACAAAGAATCAAAATACTTAATCTATCGTATGTTCCAGGTTGGTGTATAAATGGTTCTACTTAATATACAAAGTGAGTTGCTTTCTCGGTGTGGTGGGGTACATACTGATGATGCTGACGTTCCTGGGAGTGAATCTACTGTTTGGCCAGAAGCCCCAGCAGTGGATGGACGTGGCCCTGATGTTGTTGTTCTACGGACTCTACTTCGGAGTATTGGGCCGAGACGTTGCAGAGTACTGTACTGATAAAATGGCCGCTTCCATTGGGGTGAGCAATTATTTTTTTTACTCTACTAAAACGCTTTCACCAGTCTCACTTCAATTTTAAGGTATTTTTGATATAGGTGATACGTTTACGTTGTTTATGTTGTTAAACGCTTGCGTGGTTACCGGAGGCCCAATTATCTCCCTCCTCTTCCCTAATCTCCCCTATTCCTGAATGCCCAACAATTTTAAATTCCTAATCCCCTCTGGTGTTCCGGATGTCCTTGGGCGGCTCCGATTGCTTACCATCAGGTGATCCATCTGTTAGGTTACCGGTATATCGGTGGATAATAAAAACACATTAGATAGCAATGAGCTGACTTGTTACACCGAACATATGCCAAATAAATGTTTTTTCTTTCTTTCAACATACAAGTTCACATACACATAACACCCAGACCCGAAACAACAATTTGTAGATCACAGTTGCTCCGTGCAGGAATCGAACCCGCTACACGTTGCCCAGCCACCGCACCAACCGTGCAGTCATTGTGTGAAATATTATGTTTTAGTAATTAGTATGTTTGTTTGTCCCAGTACTACACGAAGGAAGGCATGCCGACACGTCAGTTGGACAGCAATGTGTGCGCTGTCTGTGGGAACCCATTGCTGGTCAACGTGAATGAGGAGGGGGTCCTAGGTATGTATACTATATCTAATAGTTTAGGAATTCATGGGTAAGCCTGATTTCAGATAAAATCGTTAACTGAATTCCGGTTCCTATTACTGCTCCATCCAAAGGTTGTCTGTAAGAAATCGCCTTGTGCGATAAAACCGCCCATTGTACACTATTATTGTTCATATTGTCCTATTATGTGATTGTGTCGTCTACAATAAAGCATATATAAACAAGATTTGTACATTGAACAGTTACTTCCGTTACAAGTACTTCCGTTGTTTGCCTATGCAAGTCAGGTTATAGAAGGCTTATTCTTCTTCCAGTTTCAATCTCCAATGCCCATAAAGCCAGCAGAGCACTTGTACCTCCTTTGTCGTTGAATGTCAATGGGCGACGCTGTTTGCTTACGGATGATATGTCGTTGGCCGCCCAACACCATATAAAAAAACAAACCGCGAAAAGTTCTGAGTGGCGAGCGACCTTATTACATAACAATTAAGTAAATAATCGAACTGGTATCTATACATCTTTGTCCATTTGTTGCAGAGAACACATACAAATTGACCTGTGGCCACGTCTTCCACGAGTTCTGCATCCGAGGGTGGTGCATCGTCGGCAAGAAACAGACCTGTCCCTACTGCAAGGAGAAAGTAGACCTCAAGAGGATGTTCACCAACCCGTATCCTTTTACAAACTCCACTATACTATGTCAGATGAAGACCAGTATAAGTTGAGCTTTTGTTCTTGCAAGTGAGAGCTCAACTTGTATTAGAATGAAGTGCTATATGTTAAACAAAATTATTTTAAACCAGTATTACTATACTCGGACTTTTAATTCGATTCCAGATTTGTCAATTTCAGTGTTGCAAGTCAAGTCCTAAATTATTCGATATGGAAATGGAATATTTCCGGATCGATAATTTAGTTTTGACGATTAATTAACGATTTGAGACTTCTTTTATAATTGTGTGTGAAATAAATGAAATTTGTGATCATGAAGGAACATGACAAATAAAACAGATAGATGTATTATGGTAATAATTCATTCGAAATTTGATTTGATGACAACGACAATTTTATTTCATAAATTGTCGTTGTCATCAAATCAAATTTCTGTAGCATTTATTAAAAAACACACACATTATCAATTTTTGTGTTCATCACTACACTATTATAATTATGTGGTATCATTATTTCACAAAATGACAGTAGCTAATGTCAAATCTGGAATCGAATTAAAATTCTCACTATGGATCATATTTCTATATAAATGTGTACACAGTAACTTCCTTAACATGTCATCAGATGGGACCGACCTCACATTCTGTATGGTCAGCTATTGGACTGGATCCGCTGGCTGGTGGCCTGGCAGCCACTCATTCTCTTCCTAGCACAAGGCATCAACTGGCTCTTTGGACTTGAATGAGGCCAACATTATCCACATAGGATCTATGCACAGACTATATGAAGGACAAAATGGGCCTTGTGAAGTGATGTGAAGTGTAATTATGAACAGTGTGTTCCTCGATAGTGACTGTTAATACTTATTAGTGAGTGTCAACGACCCCAGTATTTGTTTAAACTAGCGAAAATATACAAGTTACATCACGGTAAGTTATGTACAGAACAGAGACCTAGAGTATATCTCATGTTGTTGTCAAATCATACATATTATAATTATTCAATCATTTGATGTGTAGCTAATTAAGTACATTGACTTTCTGCAGCTACTGTCTGTCTTATTCTCAGGTATTAGAAGTCAGTTTTGATTGACAGAATAGTAAACTTTCCTTTTCAGTTCAGTTCAATTAGAGTTGGAAAGTTCTCATGTTTTAAAGTGTAATTTGCAGCAATAATAATACATGTTCCACGATTATGGTAAAAGTTTAAAAGTTTGTGTAAGAAACACAATTATAGAGAAGTAAGAGATGGCGACACTCATAAATATGAGTCCCAATGTGTCTCGATACTAGTAGCTTTCCTTCGTTCTCTTACGTGTGTAAATCCGCATATTTCAATTAATTTAACTGACTGATTTTTTGCATTTAGTGGTCACCCAGGGATTAACACGAATTTTCATAATAACTACCTAATTATGTATTTCGTTTTTATTTGTCAAGTTTTCTACGGATTGCAAACTACTGATATTCGCGTCTGTAACCAGATTCACTTTAAAGTAAATTCACATTAGTTATCTATCATTGTTGAAATTTAAAACGAGATACTTAGGAACAATGTTTATTAATTTATTTTGTGATTGTGATATTTCAAGCAAGTGTACCAGGAAATATACCATGGCCTTACAGAAAACAGGCGAGAAACATCGCTTGATTTGTGTATCGCCGCGTGAGCAAAGTTAACGGAGACCTTGTAACTCCTCTAGTGCTTCGGGTGTCCATGGACGGCGTCGATTGCTTACCATCAAGTGATTCGTCTGCTCAAATGTCTTGGCAAAGAACGGGCGCTATTAGCATTTCCCGACTTTCCTAACAAACTTTCGGAAAGCCTTTTCTCGTTTGACCTGTTTGTATATTTGTGCGCGATTATATCACGGTTGTCTAAACCGATTTTGATGCGATTTTCTGAAAAGTATTTGTTACACTTAGAAAAAAATGTGATGCTATGACCAAGAGATAACTAGTTATTGTCTTATTGAGATAACTATTTCTCAACTATTTACTCATCTCATAATATTTTTAGAGGCACGAGATACTTTTGATTATGTGCACATCAGCCCGCTCCAGTTATTTAATTTTATGAAACATCAATATAAAATTGTATGTCATCAGTTCTGCACTCGATCATACTGCAAAACCAACCTTCTTATTGTGAAATAAAGTCACTTTTGCAAAGAGCAAGGCGTTATTTTCATATAACTTGTATTATAAGCCCTAAGTTAAAGCAATAAAGTAGTTTATTGCAGTTCACGAGTCTTCAAATTAATGTTGTATGTTCTAGCAGTATTTTTTTATTTGCTTTGTTGAATACATTGTATGTACAGATGCCAGACCTTCAAGCTATATGGAACTTTAATAGATTTTCGATTTAAACAGATAGTAATTAAGTTCAAAATGTGTTGAAGAATGAAATCGTGAATTTCGTTGTTTTTATGGATAAAGTGGAAAATCTAAATGAGATTTCTGACTTAGCGACCAATTTCTGTCGTGTCGGGAATGAGGACTAACTTCTTGTGTTCACCAAATGGTGCTATTGTAGCACACGGTCCTAGTTATCCAATAGAGAATTTGTCAGTGGTAAATCATTGGACGGTCAATTTTTGACAGCTACAGTCATTGGACAATTAGGACCTCGCAATACATAGGCGCTACGTCACGCTATGTGGTGAGCACAAAAAAGCCTTTATTGCTGGTGTTTCTAGGAACCCTATGTTTGTGCTATGTCATTCCATGTTGTAAGTACTACCTACTAGTAGTTGTATGTATGTGAATTATTAAAAATATTATTTTTGTAAAAAAGGTTAAATGATCAATTAAGTGATGTATTTATTAAAATAATCTTATGTTATTTTGTACAAAAATAAATTGTTTGGATTGTAACCTTGTTTTTTTTACTGACTTATGATTCACACGCTTACTTTACGTTGTGGTCTCTCATTCACACGGTCTTACGGTTCGCCGTGTTAGGAGGCCGCCGGAGGCCCAATCTTCTCCCCCCCACCCTTGATCCTCTATCCTCAAATCCCTGACTAAATTCTTAATCCTCACATCTCGAACTCCCGAAAGACCGGCAACGTACGTGTATCTCGAACTCCCAAAAGACCGGCAACGAACGTGTATCTCGAACTCCCGAAAGACCGGCAACGTACGTGTATCTCGAACTTCCGAAAGACCGGCAAAGTACGTGTATCTCGAACTCCCGAAAGACCGGCAACGTACGTGTATCTCGAACTTCCGAAAGACCGGTAACGTACGTGTATCTCGAACTCCCAAAAGACCGGCAACGAACGTGTATCTCGAACTCCCGAAAGACCGGCAACGTACGTGTATCTAGAACTTCCGAAAGACCGGCAAAGTACGTGTATCTCGAACTCCTGAAAGACCGGCATCGTACGTGTAAGTCCTCTAGTGTTGCAGCCGCCCGTAGCGGCGCCGATATCTTGCCCATCAGGTTATCCGTTTAGTTTTCCGTCCTAACTAAGCCATAGATAGTGACGTGTTTCGACTGTTCAGTCAATCGTGTGTCAATGTATGTTTTTTTAGGAAGTTTAAAGAGTTGAATTAAAGAGAGACAACTGTTTCACTTTTTGCAAAATAATAAAGAATAACTATTGATAATCTGGTTCTTGGTCTATCTATAGTTATACTGAATTTCATCTTCTTAAGTAATTTTACTTTGTAGGAACATTTTTTAGACGGCGGTATAGGTTTCTTAACTTTTGAGCTTGTTATTGTAATAATTGTTAATGGCAAAAACTGTTAATAGTTAGTTTTTGCTACACAAAACTTATATAGTTATATATGAACTTCTTTAGTCACTAAGAAGTTCGTGGGTGATGATAACCTGCAAATTAATTTTTTTTTCGAAAGCCATAAAAAAGTGAAATTTTCATCTCATTCACTTTTTTCCAAATTCTGTCAGAAAATCAATTCTCTCAAACCTAAATACCATGCCGTTATTAACAAAAACAATGTAATTTTTTTAACAATATACATATAAATTCGGGTGTTATAATTTTAATAATCTGTAGGAAATTATTGTGTTGGGGATCAATATGATAGGCCCGCTACGCTATTGTACCCACATAAAACATATGAACTACACCCCCATAGTATTCAATAATCCGAATGTTGGAACCGTATTCAATGGCCTGGGTAAGTCGGCTACTTGTACTATTTTATGCACGATCTAGTCATATACTAAACTCTTGACGTCGTTTCGACAGTAACTAAACGTCACGCCTTTTACCCCCTCATGGGGTAGACAGCAGTTGACATGGTAAATTGTTTAGGTTCTTCAGTTACCTAATTCCTTTTGAAATGGGATTACCATTTTGCCATTGGCGAAACACTTCTCCCGATACCTTGCTACTAACTATTGAGAATTTTTCGAAAACCCTAGAAGTCTTCCTCGGTGGACACATTTGTAGTTAAACTAAAGTGTTGAGAGCTATCTACTTTAGTTAGCTAGGTACTAAATATTTGAAACAAAGGGTATATAATGTGGCGCTTGTAGGCCTAGTCACTGCTTAGTAACCTACTCTTTGTTAACAATCAGAATTGCGTGTAAATATTAGCAACCTTACTAAACTGACTATAAAAATAGACTTCACAGAGTGAATCTGCTAACCACAGTCGCTATGTTACAGTAAATCGTCTAAACTACTCACAAGACAAGAAGGGATGTTGTAAAGATATCGCGCAGACTACTGGGAAAAAAGTAGAGCCATGGCCAAAGACAGACCCACCGACCCAGCCGTGGCGGGCCGAGTGCTCGCAGGAGCCCCAGCCTCCCAACTACGACCCCTACAGGATAAAAGTCCCCGACGTTGTCGTGCCGCCTCTACCGGCTAGCAATGTTAAGGTAACTACACTGTTGATGTGTTTTTGCACACAAACATGAATTGAACCTCTGCGACATTATTATAACGGTGTTTATTTAGTGCGTTTGACGAAAACAGAGCCCCGCGACGTGTAATTAAGTATCTAATGAAATCCAGCTTGTGCTTTGTTCATCAGCGGACCGGTGTGGTGTTCACGACCACTGAGCAGCACGGCCAACGTCCCCAGCCTGACTACCACCACCAACATCATCAGTTCCCGGCTCATTCTGGATTCCAATCTGGCGTCGACCAGCAGGTCATCGAGGAAGAAGAAGCTAAAGAACCTGGTTTCTTCGGACGTCTAAAAGGTTTTTTTGGAAAACTGAAAGGCAAAGGAAAGGAAGGAGAAGGGGACGCTATGATTGGTGGCCGCGATGTCAATTGGCTACCACTGTACTGACCGCATTTGGCATCATGTTCTTACTGAAGATCATTCTGAAATAGACGTTTTACAATACAATCAGATGGTTTCATTTTTAGCTTTATACAATTTTAACGAGGGCACTGGTTTTCGTCCAACGCACTAAAACACCTCCCTGCCGATAGTCCTGAAGTGAATAGTAACATTTTTTGACAGGAAATTCCGAATGAAGATGCGCCGGAGCCTTACAAAAATGCTGGATTTAATTTCAAATCGGGTTCTAATGTTCAAGACTTGTTTCACAACTCTCCTATTGTGCACCCAGATTATTGGAAAGATAAGCCTTCGAAGAGGCTGACCGAGGCAGTGAAGGAGGTCTTGCCCAAACTGGGGTACCATGGCAAGAACAAATACAAGTACGCGTTCCACGAGCCCTGGAAGCCGCTGGACCGCATGTCTTTGCTGGAGGAGGCTGAGAAATTAGAGCTAGAGCAGGCAGAGGATATGAACATCAAAAGTGATAAACAGGGGCTCTGATTTCTGATTCGAAAAAAATTGAAAACTTTAGCTTGGTTTATTAGTCAAATGTCGCATAGTTTCGCAAAATAAAATGGTGTTATTTGTACGATCCTTGACGCTTTTACTAGATTTTGTACCTAGACATAAGATATACGTATGCAGACGTACGCATTACACTACTATCGCATAGCTCTCGATAAAGAGTAAGAGGCATACATACCTATGTTTGTTAATACCAAGATAATCTAAGTAATTATGTTAGCACGTCAAGTTTTGACGTTTTTACTTCCCTGGTACCACGGTAATAAAATCATAGTGCTAGAACCTAGTTACTTGAATACTGATCAAGGTTATTCAAGAACTAGTTGAGAAAGAGTATTGTATGAATACCTACAATAAGGTGGCCTTGCAGAGACTGAGGAGATCATTGAACGGCTTTTTTGACTTTTCTACTTAGAACCCTGTGAAAGGTGAGAGTTTTTGTGGCAAGTCTTCATATTAAAGTTGTTGTTTGTTTGTACATCTGTGTTGATGGTGCTTGCAGCCTATGCTTGACTGCGCGCGACAGAGAGGCCCCTGTTCATTGAAGCCGGTACTACCGCCGCCGCCGCCACCGCCGCCTCCTCCTCCGCCATTTCCATGGATTTATGTATGGGCACTGTTATCGTTTTTTGGTGCGTTCGGTCTGGTTAGTATCTCATTTTAATGTTTACATTTATGCCAGGTCCTGAAGTAAAGTAAAAAGTTTTTAAGTATGATTAGTACCTAATTTTATCAGATAGCAGTTTTGGTCAGGTGAGAAAGGTCAGGCAGAATCGTTTAGGCACGCGGAAAGTATTGCACATAAATTGACTAAAAAGAGGCGTCGCGGAGAACCTAACGGGTAACCGGGGCTCCGGCTCGACGTTCAGGAGAAGGAACGGAGTGGTTTTTAGTCAGTAAGAGTCTGACACTCCCTCCCGCCTCACCCAGGCGGGAGCAGTCATTCGATGATTTTCCCCCCTTCAAAAAAAGAGAATAGATCTTTTAGTTATGATGAAATAGTTTAATTAAGTTATAAGTAATAGTATGAGTGATATTAATGAAGTGTTTAAAATACATCAGTCCGTGACACATCACACTCAAACCGCTGGACGGCTGACAGCAATATTAAAATCCGCATCTGTTCTGTTCTACAAAAGTACAATGAGAGTGGTGAGGGCTCGCAACAATATAGCACAAACCGCTTTTCCATTGCTGAAAGAGCTGAAACGCAATTTTTTTTGTACATGAACTGCGAAGTGAGGGACTAGTGCGAGTTATTTTTACGTTACTTACCAAAGGCCTTAGGCCTTAACGCCTTAAGGCCTTAGCCTTAGTACGAGTTGGTTTTACGTTTAAAGTATGCGAAACTCGTACTAAGGCCTCTGATTGGTTGGTTATTTGTAGCAGCCAATTAGAGCGCCGACCATCATAAAACGAGACAGTCGCGTTAACGTAAAACAAACTAGCATTGGATAAGGCCCTGCTGCAGACGAGCGTAGACGCACCATTACGCGGATCGTGATGAACTGAATCTTCGTCTCCGGCCGAATGTTATAAATTATAATTTAAAAGTTAGCGGTACTATAATGTAGGTAAATAAATAACGTTGATTAATTTCCTCATGCATAAAATACGGTTGCGGCTTTCAACTAATAATAGGCTGGAGCTGAAGATCCGCTTTAGAATGGAGCAGCGGTAGATGTGCCAAATAAAGTGATACCCCCAACTAGCAACATTGTTGGTACATAGCGCATATTGTTTATAATAGTTCTTTGTTCAGCAATGTATTTAGCCAACTGTACCTATATTTTATTTTTTATTTGTCGTTTATCTAACAATAATTCTTAGTTACACAATGCTATTGTTAAACAAGTAATGCTCCTCTAGATCGAAAGGTTGAAATCTTTGTGATTTCTAATGAGCTCCTTGTTTCCGCAATAAAATGGCATGCATTTTTTAAACCTGTAAAATGTAGAGAACCTACAAAATTAGCTCATCAACATAATCCAAAATTTTGGACTTTATCTTGTAACAAATCAAAGTGATTTATTAGACCTCTAAAGAGTGGTTGATCTAGGAAATCGTTTACCGTT